CCCCTCCCCCCCCAGCCCCCCAGCCCCGCGTTTGCTCTCCTTGTCTACTCCTTCTTTTCCGGCCCAGGGCTTTGGACTGTGACCCTCCTGCCTCCATCCGCCACCTGGCTGGAGTCGCAGCATCGATCACTAGACGCAGCACGCTCATTGAGATGGGGTTCTTGCTTTTTTTTCTTTTCCAGTCCCCGCACCCCGCTTCACGCTCACTGCCCTCTGACCTGCACGCTCACCCCACATCACAGTGGTCTCCCCATCCCACCGGCCACCCCAGGGCACACCTCTCAGCCCCGGGATCTCTTCAGCAGTGATCACCCCTGGCTCACACCTCACATCCCCAGCCTCCCTTCCCTGGGCCTCCACCCGCTGGTCAGCGCGTCCTGGTCCTTTATTACCTGTGCTCGGCGTGGATGAGAAGCCCCTCCACAGCCCGGCCCGCCTCCCCGCCCACCCCCGGCGCTCTCCACCTTCTCCACAACACTGCCACAGCAATCCCCGCGCTTCCTCACCCTGGCCAGCCCCTCCCCTTGGAGGACCCCCCTGTGGGGCTCTGGACACCCGCCCGCCCTCCTCCCTTTCAAAAACAACTCTAGGTTTTTGCCAGGTGCCAGTCACTCAGGAGGCTGAGCTCTGAGGATCGCAGTTCAAAGCCAGCCAGACTGTTAGCTCCAAGTAACCACCAAAAAGCAGGAAGCGGATCTGTGGCTCGAGGGTAGAGCACCAGCCTTGAGCGAAAACCCGACGGGAGCAAGACCACCCCCTCCAGTTCACCGAGGCCGCTGCGGTGCACAGGGCCTCGTGACCCACCGAAAGGCCCGGAACCCCAGTGTAGCCGCTATGTGGCGGCTTGGCGGGGAAGTGGGGGAGGCCTTGCGGGGCCAGACCTCCGGCCTGTGCCGGCCTGTCATCAGAAGACAGATGGCCAGGTCCCCCACGGTCACCAGGGGACCGGTGTCACTTCTCTGGCTTGTAAACGAAACCCTTCCCACGCGTCTGCAAAGAGATGCAAGAGCCTTCTGCTCTATTCAGAGAGCTGAGGGCTTGTAGTGCTGCCCAGCCCTACGGGGTTACTCGCATGGCTTTGTGTGACCTGTCCCTCGCCTTGTGTGTGTGTGTGTGTGTGTGTGTGTGTGTGTGTCTGTCTGTCTGTCAGTCAGCACAGGGACTTGAACTCAAGGTGTGAGCATTCTTCTTTTGCTTTATTTTGCTCAAGTCTGGTGCTACCTCTTGAGCCATGCCTCCATTTCTCGCTTTTTTGGTGGTTAATGGGAGAGAAGAGTCTCTCAGACTGGGCTGACTGGGCTGCATGCGAACCACCATCCTCAGGTCTCAGGTCCTCCCGAGAAGCTGCCAGAGGCGCGAGTGGGTAGAACATTAGTGCTCTTGATGACCATTTCTCCGTGGAGTTTGCTAGTGTGTAGATGAGTAAACAGTAAACACGAAGGAGGGTCTCTGGAGACCTGGCAGAGTTTCCTTTCTCTGGTCTGCAAGGCTGGAGGCTCTTTGGCTTCTTCCATTTCACCTTAACCACAGTTCCACCTACAAAGAGGCCCTGGCAAAGGATTCCCCTGGGCTCTGCCTGAAGATCTGCTACTTCGTGAGGTACTTGTCTGCCAGTAGCGTCTCTGGCAGAGGGGAGGGGGAAGGAGGGAGGGAAGGAGGGAGGGGAGGGAGGGGCGGGCTGCTGCATCTCTTCCTGCTTTCCCCTGACTTTCCCCTCCTGAACGTTTTTCTGGAGGAGTGGAAAAGGACAAATCTTAATTCTGGACATTTCCCAACACAGCCCATACGTTTCTTCTGGAATTTTGTCGCTGTTGTTACTGTTTTCAGTTTTACAGCATTTTGGTGCCCAGTGACAATGGAATGTAGAAATAATGATCTTTTTGGTGTTTTTATCCCAGCTTATAAACATAATGACATTTTAAAAAGCCAGAGAACAATACAATTCATATTAGTCACTAAGATCCAACTACTTACTTTGGATATGTTTCCTTTGTTTTTTTCTACACTGATTTTTTTTTTTTTGGTCAGTTGTGGGGCCTGAACTCTGGACCTGGGCGCTGTCCCTCAACTCTTCAGCTCAAGGCTAGCACTCCACCACTTGAGCCACAGCGCCACTTCTGGTTTTCTAGTGGTTTATTGGAGATAAGAGTCTCTTGGACTTTCCTGCCCGGGCTGGCTTTGAACTTTGATCCTCAGATCTCAGCCTCTTGAGTAGTTAGGATGACAGACATGAGCCACCGGCACCCTGCTTACACCAATTTTTTTTTTTTGGGTCCGGTTGTGAGGCCTGAACTCTGGGCCTGGGTGCTGTCCCTCAGCTCTTCAGCTCAAGGCTAGCGCTCTACCACTTGAGCCACAGCGCCACTTCCGGCTTTTTTTCTTTTTGGTTATGTGGTGCTGAGGAATTGAACCCAGGGCCTCAGGCTTGCAAGGCAAGCGCTCTACCACTGAGCCACCTTCCCAGCCCTACACCAATTTTTTAAAATGTAGTTGAGATCAAAATACACATAAGTTTCCATAGCCTGTCATTTTCTCCTAAATTTGTAGCCATCTATACTCCTATAAATACTACTTTTCACGTGCGTGTTCCGCTCACCGCAATGGGTGATCTGCGGGTGCTTGGTCCCCACAGGGGTTGTGGTTTGTCCTTCGTGGTTAATGCAGATACAAGATGGCGCCTGAATCTCCTCCCTGTTCGTTTCCCTGTACCTTGTCCTACCAGAGTGTTTTTCCTTCCCTCACAGCCACCCCCCCCTCCGCTCCCTCACCAGTGGGCAAGCCGGCCTCTGGTTTTCTGGGCACCCTCTTTGCAGCTTCAGTGTCCCCCCCCCGCCCCCCGTGTGCGTCAGGTTCAGATTGTCGCTCTCCACCCCCCTTCCTCCTAGGTACTGGACCACTGAGTTCTGGATCATGTTTAAAATGGACGCCAGCCTGACGGACACGATGGAGAAGTTTCAGGAGCTGGTGAAAGCCGCCGGCGAGGAGTCGCACTTACGCCTCATCGACACCACTCAGATGTGAGTGCCAGGCCTCCCCCTGTCCACACCCAGCCTGCGCGGCCCGCTGCCCGCTGCCCGCGCTGGCCCTGCCCGGCCCCAGCCCCTGGCAGCGGCACTGCCACCCGCTGAGCAGGGCCTGACCGCTGGCCACGGCGGCGAGATGCCCGCGGCCCGCGCTGGCCCTGCCCGGCCCCAGCCCCTGGCAGCGGCACTGCCGGCCTGTTACCCGCTGAGCAGGGCCTGACCGCTGGCCACGGCGGCGAGATGCCCGCGGCCCGCGCTGGCCCTGCCCGGCCCCAGCCCCTGGCAGCGGCACTGCCGGCCTGTTACCCGCTGAGCAGGGCCTGACCGCTGGCCACGGCGGCGAGAAGGCCGGGGCAGGTCAGGAAGAACGTGGGGACACCGTGTCCAGCGGTGCGAGAAGCCAGTGCCTGGATTCTAAACATACCTGAGCTGGCATGGGGGAGACGTGCTAAAGCTGTACCAGGCGGAGCCTGAGACGCGGGCGGGTGGCGGCACTGGGGAGGGGCGCAGCAGTGTCGGCCTCTCCCAGTGTGAGGAGGGCGGGGAGCCCCGGTTTCCACCGCATAAAAGTTGCTCATTTTGCAGGAACTCAGCTCCTGCCTTAGGGAATTCCAGAGCTGAGACCTGGGTCTGAGCTCAACCAGGGATCTGGAGACCCGCCCCATGGCGTCCTGCCCCGGCCTGGCTTTGCCCGGCTGGTTGAGCCAGTCCAGAGCGGATGTCAAAGTCCCTCTGGAGCGGGCGGTGGGCCGGGCGGCGCGCCCCTGCGCCTGTGCTGAGGGCGGGGGCAGCGCGCGGAGGGCGGGGGGCACGCGCCCGGCCTGCCTCCCTGGCCGCCCTGTCTCAGGCCAGTGTCCACGCCAGCTGGCTAGAGGCGTGGGGAGCGGTGAGCGCGGGGTGCCTTCCGCAGGACCTTCCGAAGTCTGTAATGCACTGGGTGGCCAGGGAGGCTGGCGAGGGTGACAGCTTCCCAGTCCCTGTGGATCCTAGAACCCCTCTACTGAATGGCCACACACGCCGTGCCCCCCCCCCCGCTTGTCCAGCATTGGGAAGCCATGTGGGTTGACTGTGTGGAGACATGGGGGGGGGCACCGGAGGTCAGCTGGGCTTCCCCGGGGGCTTTCAGTCCCTGGAGACCGGGGGAAGGTGACCCCGCCGGTGCGGCTCTGTCCTGTGTGCACGGAGGGCGTGACTTCCCGCTGTCCTTTCTCCCGCACTCCTCTGCCCGCACAGCAACGCGCGGGACTGGTCGAGGAAGCTCACTCAGAGGATAAAGTCCAACGCCAGCAAGAAGCGCAAGGTGTCCCTGCTCTTCGACCACCTGGAGCCGGAGGAGCTGTCCGAGCACCTCACCTACCTGGAGTTCAAGTCCTTCCGGAGGATCTCCGTACGTAGCCACAGCGGGCGGCCCGCTGGGAGACGGGCGAACGCGGGCATCCGGCAGCCTGGGCGCCCCGAGCCTCGCGGTGCTGGGCGCGTTTGGTTACCCCTCCTGGGTCTCCAGGCCAGCCCCTCCCACCCCTCATGCTCAGAAGGCTTCAGGTTAGGGTACCGGGCGGCCCGTGTGCCCCACACACATGCACTCCTCATCCTGTCATCGTTAGATTTCCAGAAAGTTCTTGTTAATCTTTTCCAACCAAAGAAGAAGCTGGGCTGTGTGCCCTGGGAGTTCCGACCCATTCTTGGGGGAGCCTGGAACCGCTCTGGGACATCACTACATAAAGTAGAGGCCGCTCGGCCTGCCAGAGCCCTGAAGGGGGGGCTGCCGCGGCCTGGCAGCCCCTGTCCTAGAGGTAAACCCGCCGCTGGCGTCCTGGGCCGCCCCGCAGAGCCGAAGGGGTTTAGCGCCAGGGTGCAGGAGAGCACCCGCCCGGGCGGCCTGCCCTCGCTGGGCTCTGCAAGGCCGCGCTGGTCCCGTAGGGGAGAGGCGGACACGCCAGCCGCCCGCAGTCCTTGTGACGCACCCCGCCGCCCAGGTGCAGGGGTGGGGGCGCTGACCCCTGCGAGGACCTCAGCCCTCCCCGCCCCCCCCCCCGTGTCGTGGACACCTGCAGGCCAGCCACGCTGGGCGCAGGCTCCCGTTTTCATACCACCGTTGGCCATCATCCAGCTAGGGACCCCTCCCCCCCTGCGTCCTACCCACTCTGGAAGCAGACACCCGCTCACCCCACCCCCGGGCTGCGGCAAGGCCTTCCTCCACAGAAGCCTGCCATGGGGAGGCTCCTCGGGAGTCCCCGCCCGGCAGCTAGGGGCGCGCGTGTGTGCCCAGAGCCCAGGCAGGGCTCGAGCTCCAGGTGGCAAGGGGGAGAGGGTGGGAGGCGCGGGACAGCTTGTGGGCAGCCCCGCGGGGGCCGGAGTGCCCGGTTTGCCCGTGGGAAGGACGCTGGACGCGGGCACCTGTGTCCAGGTCCCTTTTGCAGAACGGGTCCAGGGGTTCCATTTGTTTGCTTTTCTTACGTGGTTTGAAGTAGTTTTCCCAAACGAAGGCAATTTTCTCCCACCATGAGGGATCAGGGAATTCTCTCTGCTGGGCACTGAAAGGCACTGGGTGTTTGCTGCTGCGAGTCAGGGGAGAAGGGGAGATGATAAGGACGATTTTGTAGTTGTTTAATTTTGCTCAGGCTTGAACTTGGTCTGGTCTGTCCCTGAGCTCTGTGCTCCATGCTAGTGCTCTCCCACTGCAGCCACAGCTTTACTTGCCGCCTTTATTGTTTTATTCTTTGATAGTTTATTGGCGAGAAGAGTCACAGACTTTCCTGGCCGGGGCTGGCTTTGAGCCGCGATCCCCAGATCCTAGCCTCCTAACTAGGGTTACAGGCGAGACCCACCAGCATCTGGTGATAATGCTTTATTTAAGTGATTTCAACATTAGTCTCCTCCTGATAATCCTTGGAGTGAGTCCTGGTAACTTTTTACTCTCAGGACTGATGAGCTTTGTGTTTCCAGTAATAAATACGCTGTGGCCATCACTTACACCAGACGTTCTGGACCATTCCTGGCCTTTCCCCCCTGTGGCTTTGTGGTCAGTGTAGTCACCACCCCTGTCCAGCTAGGAGGCCTGTCCCCACGCGCAGCTAGCCCGGGCTCCTGCCCTCCGGTCCCTGGCGTCCCTGGCTGGCGAGGAGAGGACACCAGATCCTCGCCCATCCGCATGAGGTCCCCTCAGCACGGTGCGCGTGCGTGCGTGTGAACGCTGTCGCGTGCGTCTGCGCAGTGTTGGCTCCTCACAACTCCATGTCCTGGGTGGGGCGGAGTTCATGTTGAAGCTAACAACTGGGGCGGGGAAGAACTTCTTTTAGGGGAACTGTCTTCTCCAACGTTGGCTCGGTCCTTACGGTTGTCTCTTTCCCCCCTCCCAGTTCTCTGATTATCAAAATTACCTTGTAAATAGCTGTGTGAAGGAGAACCCCACCATGGAGCGCTCCGTCGCCCTGTGCAATGGCGTCTCCCAGTGGGTGCAGCTCATGGTGCTCAGCCGCCCCACCCCACAGCTCCGTGCCCAGGTCTTCGTCAAGTTCATCCAGGTGGCTCAGGTGAGTGGCGGTGTGGAGATGCCCGCCCATCCGCCCGCCTGTAGGGCCGCGGGGTGGAGGACCTGCCCCCCCCCCCATGAGGCAGGAGGACACGCGGGGGCCGTGTCGGGTGCAGATCCCGCTTAGGCCCGCTTAGATTGCTCCCACCCTCCACACACCTGAGGGGGGGGCGATTCCCCACCAGTGCGGCTGAGTGAGTGAGACCCCGGGGCGGCCAGGCCGGGTGATGGGCCGAGCCTGTGGCCGCTTTGCACCGGGGAGCAAGGCAGAGTCCCCAGCCTCCAGAATAAAGACACCCGGGAAACGTGGGACAGAGGAAGTGAGAGGTGGCGCTCAGGGATGCGATTTCCCAGTTCTGGATGGCACAAACAGGTGTCCCCCCGAGTCTGGCGCGTGGGCCGTCCACGGGGGGGAACAGGCCTGGGAGCCCCCCTCCAGGTGGAGACCTCACCTCCAGAGCCGTCTGTGTTCAACACCGGGGCCGTCTCGGGAGCCGCTGCTGGAGATGGGGGTTGACACCCGGCCACAGCACAGGTTCTTCTGGGTGGTCCTGGGCCTGGGACTCAGCCCGGGGAGCAGCGGAGCGCCGTCTCCGGCCGTAGACGCAGCACAGACAAGGCGCCTGGGCCCCGGAGCGGGGCCGTGACGCCGCTTTCTCCCCTCCCAGAAGCTCCACCAGCTGCAGAACTTCAACACGCTCATGGCCGTGATCGGCGGGCTCTGCCACAGCTCCATCTCCAGGCTCAAGGAGACCAGCTCGCACGTCCCCCACGAAATCAATAAGGTCAGTGCCACCTGCGCCTCTGGGCCCCCCAGGAGCCTTCCCCGCTGCCACCTCCTGCCCACAGGACCCGGGGAGCCGGGAGCCCGGGCTGGGGAGGCGTCGGCCACGGCCCTGTGCCTCTGCCCCGCAGGTCCTGGGCGAGATGACGGAGCTGCTGTCCTCCTGCAGAAACTACGACAACTACCGGCGCGCCTACGGCGAGTGCTCCCACTTCAAGATCCCCATCCTGGGGGTGCACCTGAAGGACCTCGTCTCCCTGCACGAAGCCATGCCCGACTACCTGGAGGACGGCAAGGTGAACGTGCCCAAGCTGCTGGCCCTGTACAGCCACATCAACGAGCTGGTGCAGCTGCAGGAGGCCGCCCCGCCGCTCGAGGCCAACAAGGATCTGGTGCACCTGCTCACGGTGAGCCCCCCTCCCCTCGCCCCTCCCCGTCCCCCTGCGCCGGCCGGAGGGGCCGCACCAGGGGGAGCACAGCCTGGACTCACGCAGCGGGGACTCTGCGGGCTTCCCGCGTCTGGCGCAGTAGCCCTCCTGCGTTCACACCCCGGGCCGGCTCACATGCTGACACAGCCCCTCCACAAAAGGGACAGAACCGGTCAGGGACAGCACCCAGGCCCTGAGTTCAAGCCCCAGGATAACCAAGAATGGGGGGGGGCTGGAGGGCGGCAGAGTAGTGAGGAAAAGCACTGAACATTCTTGGGATGCTGCGGCCCCTGGCTGAGCTCCCTCTCCTGGAGGGTTCATGGCGTGTGGGGTGCGAGGTTTGCACTTCGGGTGTGAGTGACCGGGAGCTTCTTCCCTGACCTGCGGCTCCACAGTTCACCAGTAACTTCAGTGGGGACCTGAGTTCCACTCCCCCACTCCCCTCCCCATCCTGGGGCTTGAACTCAGGGCCTGGGCGCTGTCCCTGAGCATTTTACTCAAGGCTAGTGCTCCACCACTTGAGCCACAACCGCACTCCGCGCTTTTGTCTGAGTAGTTTTTGGAGACACGAGTCTCACGGCCATTCCTTCCTGGGCTGGCTTGGAACCGTGCTCCCCCAATCTCAGCCTCCTGAGTAGTCAGGATTACAGGCGTGAGCCACAGTGCCCCTTCCGGCTTTTTGTTTGTGTGGTGCCAAGGAATCGAACCCAGGGATTTGTGCATGCTAGCCACATTCCCAGCCCCGCAACTTGGTGATTTTTTAAAGACTACACTCCCAGGCACCTGGAGGATAAGGGAGCCTGCTCTGTCCCCCTCTGCAGCTGTCCCTGGACCTCTACTACACAGAAGACGAGATCTATGAGCTCTCCTATGCCCGCGAGCCCAAGAACCACAGAGCGCCGGTAGGTGCCTCTCAGCTCCTCTGTTCACCTTAACGTGGAGCGTTTTATTTCCACGGGGTCCAGTCCCACTTGAGAGCACGAAGACGAACCAGGAGGCTCAGGGCCCTGTCTGCAGGGGATCGGGGGGACCCGCTTCCACGGAACCTGTGCGTCACCCTGAACACGGTTGCTGCAGATCACTGGCGGCTTTCATTTCCAAGGTGTTAGTGGCATTTCGATGGAAAGGTTAACTTCGCCTGCTTTTGGATTTTAGTTTAAGTTTCAAGGATTTGGAAATGGATTTCATCTCAGCCCACGCAGGCTTGGGATTTTTCTGTCTTAGGTTTTATTTTAACTCATTATCACCCCGCTCTGTAGCAGAAAGGGACTAGAGAACAAAAAGGAAATAGAAATGCTCCGTTTTATTCTACGGCTGAAGCCCCGGCCCCATCCCTTTTATGCTTTAGTCACTTCTCGGTAGGATGTCACCTTTTTGCCCAGGCTAGTTTTGGACCCTCTACCTCCACCTCCCGTGAGCCGGAATTGCACGTGTGAACCACCATGGCTGGTTCGTTTGTTGAGATGGGGCTTGCTCTTTGTCTAGGATAGCCTTGAACCTCAGTGCTGATCTCTGCTTCCCAGTACATGGGATTACAGGTGAGAGCCACCAGGCCCAGTCTCGAGTTTTTAATTCTGGTTAATAGTTGTATTCTGATCTGCATTTTCCCGGTGGCTAATAATTGAGCATATTCTTATATCCTTCCTGGTTGTTTATAACCTTTGGAGATAAATCTGCTTAGCTCATTTATCCACTTCATTATTCAGTTTATTTGGCTGTGCTTTGGTTTGAACGCAGGGACCTGAGCTTGCTAGAAAGGCACTGTACCACTTAAAGCACATCCCCAGTCTCTGTTATTTTTAAGACAGGGTGTCACTCTTTTGTATAGGCTTCGCCTTGAACCTTGATCCTACCTGCAGGTAGCTAGGATTAGAAGTGTTTACACCGGACTGTTAAGAACGGGGTCTTTCTTGACAACTTTTGCCCAGAATGGTCTCCAGTTTCAGTCTTCTTCACCGCCTGTGTTCCGTCAAACCTGGTCTTTATTCTGGACAGTAATCATCACATGAACAGCTCACGGAATTTTCTCCCAGTTCAGCATAGTAGTCTTGGTTTGTTGTTTTTTGGTTTTTGTTTTTTTGTCGGTCATGGGGCTTGAACTCTGGGCCTGGGCGCTGTCCCTCAGCTCTTCAGTTCAAGGCAAGTGCTCTACCACTTGAGCCACAGCTCCATTTCTGGTTTTCTGGTCGTTTATTGAAGATAAGAGTTTCATGGGCTTTCCTGCTCAGGCTGGCTTTGAACTTTGATCCTCAGATCTCAGCCTCCTGAGTAGCTGGGATTACAGGCGTGAGCCAGTGGCTCACCAGCTTAGTCTCTTGTTTGATGTAATTCCATTGGTCAGTTTCTGCTTTTGCTTCCTGGGCTAACACAGGGCTCCCATCTGGGAGATCTCTGTCTGTCCAGTGTCTGGGAGTGTTTCCCTGTACTTCGTCCTGTCGCTCATTGTAGCTGGAGGTCAGTAGAGGTGGGCGGCCCTGGGTGCTACCGTGGCTGAGTGGAGGAGCTGGAAGCCCGCGGCGGGGAGTGTGGGAGAGCGAGTGCGTCCTGGTCACGGGCTGCGCTGTTGCCTGCAGCCTCTGACGCCTTCGAAGCCACCGGTGGTAGTGGACTGGGCCTCCGGTGTCTCCCCCAAGCCCGACCCCAAGACCATCAGCAAGCACGTGCAGAGGATGGTGGATGTGAGTGCCGCCCAGGGCGCATGAGCCTGGCTCAGCGGGGGGGGGGCGCCCAGGGCCCCTCCCCAGACACCCCGGTCACACAGGCCTGCCGCAGGGAGACGGGCTGCAGAGGAGGGGAGCGGAGCACTTCCAGGGGCTGCTGTGAGCCCCGGAGGAGCTGCAGAGGGACAGCGAGAAGGGTGCGGGTGGGCTGCGGGGCAGGCGGGCAGCGCCAGGCCCGGTGCGAGTCTGTGCCCCTGCCCTCGGGCAGCCCCTCCGCCCCCCTCCATCCCCCCTCCATCCTCCACCCCCCCTCCGCCCCCCTCTGCCCCCTTCATCCTCTCCGTGCTCCTGACTGTGCTCACTGGGGCCTCTCCTCTGCAGTCTGTCTTCAAGAACTACGACCATGACCAGGACGGCTACATCTCCCAGGAGGAGTTTGAGAAGATAGCTGCGAGCTTCCCCTTCTCCTTCTGCGTGATGGACGGCGACCGGTGAGGAGGGGTGAGGGCGGGCTCATGATGGGGATGGTGGGCAGGGGAGAGGAGGGATGAAGGTGGGGCCGTGGGCTGGGGTGTGTGGTAGTGGTCGGATTAGCCAGGGAGCCCTCCTTGGCCCGCGCGCTCACCCCCGGCTCCCCCCCCAGGGAAGGCCTCATCAGCCGCGCGGAGATCACAGCCTACTTCATGAGGGCCAGCTCCATCTACTCCAAGCTGGGCCTGGGCTTCCCTCACAACTTCCAGGAGACCACCTACCTGAAGCCCACCTTCTGCGACAACTGTGCGGGATTTGTACGTGG